GCAAATTCTTGAGTAATGAAAGGTTATCTTAGGACATGAAAAGTTGCTTCCCTTATATGTAATTCTAACAAACATTCATGTCAAATTTGGTGAAAGTCCATGAACAGGGGGCGAAGTTGTGGTAAAAAACGCAAATCGCAAAATACAAAACTGAAAATGTGTATGTGCCCCCGCATGGACCTAATGAACCTCCATACCAATTTTGGTGAAGATCCATGAACACCCTGTGAAGTACTTACATGGACATACAACAAACAGTACTATTTATGTAGATAAATATTTTAAAAATTCCGTTCTGTTCCAAACTATACATAAACAGGGCTTAATTCGTGTAATGTGTACTTGAGGTGTTGGTCGCGGGTTCAAACACGCTCGACTTTTCAGCCGTGAGAGTGTTATAATGTTATAACCCAAAAGTTGGAAGTAGGTGGTGTTGAATAGTTGTCTCCCCTCCAGGCTGTCATTGCTAAAATAGGGGCGGTTAGCGCAGATAGCCGTCGAGTAGCTTTGCGCGCAATTCAGCAAATTGTGCAGTGTACAGAGCTGTTTATGTGGTCTACAATGTGTAAGTAGCTATATATTGTTTGAAATCAAACTATCACTAACTATAAAAGCTTATTTCCCTTGCCACTCTGTCTAGAACGCTTTCATGCTTCTTTTTTGGTGACGCTCAACAATATACATCGTCGCTTAGCAAGAAAACTATCACCTGATTGTTCTTAGGGCAACTATGGTGTTTATGTTGAGTGCTCAATATTCATGTTGATTTGCTAGAAAGGTTAGTTTTTCTTATTCTTTATTATTATTATTATTTTATAACTTTGGTGACACAACAGCAAAATAGTTTAATTCAGAAGTTTTATAATACTGAGTTGTAGCCAAAACCAAAATAAAATTTACCAAGTAGTGTTTCAGCTAAGCGTTACGTTTATGTATTAAATTAGACTACAAATAGGCCTAATATTAATAACGTTATAGAGTCAGTGTTTGAAAAGTTTCAAGTGGTCAATAAATGTTAATTAATAAATATTCTTTTGGTATTTTAACACATATATGACCTACTTGGCTTTAAAACGAATTTGTCTTTACCTCCAAAATGCACCTACTCTTCACTTATTTCATCAGTCTCGAAATAACTCTTTTTAGTTAAATTCTGTAACTTTCGTTAATCATTCAACAATGATTTTTAGGTTATTTTGGTCGGGCTTTTAAACTAGTTTATATTTATAAAAGCGAAATTGTATGTTTGTCTGTCCGCTAACTCTTAGCACACTATTTGACCAGTCTTGCCATGGTGACTCCTACGGTCCCCAAAAGTAACATGAAGGGGCAAAATTCACACCAGGTTTCCCACAAAAATTAATTTTTGGATTTTATTTTAGTTTATGCCTTGGTGTCACGCTCCTTTTGGTAATTAATGCTCAACAATATACATCGTCGCTTAGCAACAAAACTATCACGATATTGTTAGGCCAACAATGTTGTTTATGTTGAACGCGTATTGTACATGTTAATTTGTGGTTTATTTTTATTTCCTCTGTTTTTAATAACTTCGGTGATATAAAAGCAATTGGTTTAATTCAGAAATTTCTTCTTAAGTTAGTGTTGGAAAGTTTCCAACCAATCAGTCAAACAGCTACATAACTATTCCAGACAAATTTGGCAACGTAGCTAAGGATGCAGAAGAGATAAAGGAAATGGGCCCCCCAGTGGCACAGCGGTATGTCTGCGAACTTACAACGCTAGAATACAGGTTTCGATACCCGTGGTGGGCAGAGCACAGATAGCCCATTGTGTAGCTTTGTGCTTGATTACAACCAAACAAACTAAAGGAAAAGGTGTTCCTTAATGTTCGTCAAAATTATTAATGGTTGTGTAAAAGAGCAATTCTTGCACCTCGAAATGATAGTGTTCATGACATAAATGATCAATTATTGCAAAAGATTCCCGGACAGACATTCAACTAGTAATTATTAAAGATAATATCGTTATAAGAACATTATATTTACGCGGATTTTTACCATTGTTCAGTCTACTTTGTAGTCGTCTGTTCTCCGACTTCAGTGAATGAATTATCCCTTCTTGTTTCTTCAACTAAAGCGGAAAATAATTTCTTTGATTAATAAAAAGGAATTAGTGGTGATTCATGCCTTTGTTTTCGAAATTATGTTAAACTTTTATGCTAGCTTGAATAAAGCACACATAGTTAAAAATCAATTAAAGTTATATAATTCTAGATAACTTTCTTCAAATTAGCGGGTGTTAAAAATGATCAACTGTATAGATTTAGGGTACTGGTTTTCTTGCGGAAAGAAACTGTTTTATATATATAAGAAAAATAAAAAAATGAATACTTTTATATTTTATGAAAACTTCATAAAATATAAATATATTTGTACAAATTACTTTAATTGAAATAATGGTGTAAATAGACAAATAAATAAAATTAGATAAAAGTCAAAACCCATAAATTTCAAGGGATAAAAATGAGCATCAAATAAACCAAAATAAGTTTCAGTTAAATCTATGGGTTTGGTGTCAAGTGATAGGATTGAGCTGTATATATGTTTATGGGTGTGTTTG